ACCATTTCCTCCTATATTTTAGTTCAGTTTTCCTTTTATTAATGTTTCTTTTCTTTGAAAACTGACTAGCGGAATGTCAATTAATTGTTAAAATCATTCACTGCCTCATTTATTCCATTTTTATCCATAGCATAACTATTATTTAAGAAGCATTTGATCTGTTCCTGACTTGTTTTAGATGCTAATCTATCTTGATATTCAAATACTGATAGTTTGTCCCATATCCAGCTTCTAGGTTCATTGTTTAAATAATTATTGTCACTTGTCTCTGTTCGAATAATATCATTCACTGTAATTAGACAAGATATTTGGCAGTGATCAGATGTACATGTAAAGTCATGTACCTTGAAATATTTAATATTTTGAATTAGATCAGGGGATGCTATTGCATAATCTACAGTGCTCGCACCATTATAGTGATAACAGGTATAACTGCCTTTAGAATCCCCAGGTAAACGCCCATTCAATATTATAAGACCAGTACTTTTACACATTTCTATTAAAGATCTACCATGACTATTGACAGATGAATCACTATTGTTTCGTACTGACGTAATGTTTATTTTCCTCATATAAATATGAAAATGGTATAAATGGGTTATTGTCATTGCTATATGATCAGGAGAAACCTGTTCTGCTGTTCATGTCACCAAGTATAACAACATTGCCATGTTTGGAGAAGTTGCATATCTCATTTTGTAAATCATCAAAAAAGTCATGCTTGCAATATTTTGAAATTGCAGGTGGGTGGTATATAAAGCATAGATATATATCCTTTGTTACATTAAAGAAATCCTTTTGTAACTTACACCATATCATGTCATCAGAGTTGGTATTGACTATAGATATTCCTTTTTTGAGAGGTTGTTTGATTAATAGAGATATTCCACCTCTTGACTGATTTTTTCGAGTTATAGAGTATGAGTAATATCCAGGAATATTCAGAACATTTTGAGAAGCTTGATTTAGCCAAGTTTCTCCTAATCCGATGATGTCATGACATGTTATATCTTTCACAAAGTCATTATTTTCTAATTTGCTAGTTACACCTTGCACATTCCAATATGAAATTGATAATGCTCGTTTTCCTGACTTCCATGAAGTCCTCCTTCTGCATTGTTGTTTTTGTACCATTATTGAAGATTTTGTTGTGGTCTTTGACCGTACATGTGCATCCTCCAATCAGGTTGAAATGATAATCCTGGAAATAGCATTTGAGACAATAGTGTTTGTTGGAATTGGTATGGGTCAGCTGGGAAGAAGGAATCTTGATTGTTGTCTGTATGATTTCTGGATTGTTGGCGGGTATTTTGTTTGTTGACATTCTGTGAGGTTGTTAATTTAGATTTGTAGGTTTTCTTGACATCCCGTTTAATACCAATTATTGGTCCAACAGCATCTTTTATGTTTTTCACCAGAGCAGCTGTCCCACGGAGATTCAGATGCACATTATCTATCAAATGAGTGTCACAATTAATGTTATTGTTGTCAATATAGATGTAATTATCCCCATTAGCACTCTGTTGTTTCAATTTGTCATTTAGTTGGTCCGTGTTCTCATTTGTTGTAATGTTGTCCCTTCGATGTAGGATGGAGGAGACACAGATTTTCGCTGTTGGATATTTGTGTTTGGTATTATCAATTAGAGTTACAAACTCATCTGCACATGTCTGAACTGAGCACCCATCTGAAATGTTATTTGTGCCAACATGAATGACTATGGTTTGGATATCCTTGTATGATGTTGATTGTATGTATTCATCAATATCTTCAATCTTTCTCCCACGTAGTGTTCTAATATGTGTATTCCTATACACACGTTTGATGTCCACATCTCTCAGCAATGAATCACCCACAATCATTGTCTGCACAGCCCTTGCATCACTTTTCTTCCTGTTAGTAACTAATTCATAGTTGTCAGAATTGTCATAGTCATCTAGAGGTAGAGAATTATACAGGTTGGGGGAGTGCAAGTCTTGTAATCTCGAAGACCTCAATTCATCAAGCTGTTTCTGTAAATTTTTATTCTCAAGATGAGTCTGCTCTATCTCCTTTTCCTTTTTCTTTAGATCTTGTTGTAGCTGTCTGCTATCTTGTAGTAGACTGGTGAATGAATCAGGATATTTCTGTATTTTTGACATAGTTGTTTCTTGAGCTTCTGAGATGCAGAGTAAGGTCTGGTTGTTACTACGTATAGTTTTCTCCATTGTAGTCATCTGTTCTTCCATGTTGTGTAGTTTCCGCTGTAGATTAATCATGTCTTCTTTGTTGTTATTGTTGTTGTTGTTGGTGGTGTTGCTGGTGGAGGTTGTTGATGTTTTGGCAGACAGATCACTCTTCATTAGGTTAGCAAGGACTTTAGAGATTTTCTGTATTTCTTTGGACTGTATTGTGAGACTGTCTTTAACAGCCTTTATTTGATCTGTTAATTCTTGAGTCACATGTCCAGTTTTGATGATATTACAATAATTCTTGTCTATCTGCTCAACCGATTTAAACATTTGAGTTAAGGTTGCAGCCAATTCTGTGTTGTCTAAAGTTGCTATGTTTCCCAGAGCTGGTGTTATTGATTTACGGCAAGGAATTCTTGATGGTGTGTTATTGATCTTGGATGATCTTGTCATTGGGCTTTTCTTTCTTTCAGTCATTGTTTCATCAACACTATCGTCTAACTCTTCTATGGAGTTCTCTTCATCTCTCCTGTACTTCAGTGGCTTTTGTACAGCAGTTCTTTTGGGATATCTTCTATCAGTTGATTCAGTCTGGTTGGTTGTAACAGATAGCTGAAAAGTTTCCTTGATATGATTCAAGAACAGTTTCTCTGCCCCTTCATTCATAATCCATGCATAGTAGGAATTACCTTGAATCAGAAGTGTACCATTTTTGAAGACTTTGATGGTAACAGTGTTACCATGTATGTTTGTCAAACGTAGCTGAGTGCTGCTCTCTTTGTCTTTACACTCATAGTTGTGTCTATTCTCTGGATATGCTAGTTTTAAACATCACAACCATATGTCTGTCAGTGTTTCATTTGAAAACAATGAAACAGAGCCTTTGTTGAATTTAATCTCTATGTTGTTATCAGAACTTATAGCATACCCATTGAGAAATGTCTTTAGTGCTTCCTCTTTACTTATTAGTGAACTTTGGTCATATTGAGCCATCTCCAGCGTTTTGGTTTCCATAATTATATATACAAAACAGTTGACCTGGTTGTTTGGTCCAGTTCTTTGTCTCTATACTATTGACTGTTGCTTTGTTTATTTTACTCCTTTGTCTTTGTAATGGCTGCCAATGTGTTGTCCTTTGTCCTCTTTGTGTAACACTAATATCACTAACAGTGATAGTTACCACTCTCTTCCTCTCTTCCTTGTCTTGTTATTAAGTATATGGTCTGGATTTGCAATAAGGACTTGTCATTCAATCTTGTCAGTTAGTTAAATGCTCCACATTAATCAGGTTGAGTAGTGTAGTAGTGATCCTTGTAGTGTGAACTACTAGTAGCTGTTTCAGTTGTTGTTTCAGTTGACTTCAATCAGTGATCATTATTACTGCCTTTGACAACAGTTGACAGAAGATATAAACTCACCAAATGATTGACTAAACATTCATAGTGTCTCTCATATAGTTGTTGTTGTATGGAACACTCTGTATCTGCATATAACTTGATGGAAATCAGACTGATTAAACACATACTGTTAAAACAATGGCGGCCATGTTCACCACATATCAAATTATTTCTTTGTTTACTGTTTTCAGATCCACAT